AAATATTTGAAAGAAAAAAAGCTTTACTAAACAGGTCCTGAATATGATCTCTTGTTAAAATAATTTTTAAAACAATCTTAAAACTTACATTCATTATATCAAATGGAGACCAGTTAGAATAAGCCACAGGCTTTCCATTTAGCCATTTTTCATAATCATCATTTTGTAACCCTATCCACACATTAGTGATCTGGCCAAAAAGATTCATAGTAATGAAAGCTGAAAAATAGGAATACATTATCTAATTTAACACCATATAAACCATTTGGGTAATCATCAAATTCTCTTTAGAGCTCTGATTATATTTAAATGATAGCAAAACTTAATTAGAAATCAATTGTAGAATTTGTTACTTTGTTCTTGTTAAGGTAATGCAGTTTCTTTCACTTTTGTTTCAGTTTAAATTGACAGAAATTAGCTTGATAACCTGAGATCCCATCATATCATTAACAAAACAATTTCTAGTGTTTATTTAATGCTTTTTTAAATAACACAGGATTTATCTACTATAATTAAACTAAAGTACATAATTGCCTAAAAATCAAATGAAAGTGTGTAGGTTAATCTAAAGGGATCTAAAAATTATTCCATGCAATTATAGTAGATTATGCTTGGGATTATTTTAGTCATTTTGAAACAGAGATTATAAATAAGTCTTTATGCTTTCCAGCTACTGGTAAAATCAAAACCTCTAAAACTCAGCAATTTATAAAGCAATGCAGTATACTGACTTTTATAGATGTTATGACATAAAACCTTATGAGTCAAACTGAAACATTATGTGTCATCAACAATATAGTATTTTAAATGCTGATTTGGAAATGTTATTATTTTTGGAATGCCTTAATTACTACTTGAATAAAAAGTTATTTTAGCCTAATTGAACATTGAGTACTCTACCTTGTTCCACTTCACTTTCAATGGCCACCAGCGTCCCACCTTCTGTAATGCAGAAATCCAGAGCTCCTGTCCAGTTCTTTAGATTGCTTGGGTCTTTGGGGACTATCACTAACAGGCACTATCAAAAAATATGAAAACAATGTTCATTTCAGTATTTTTCTAAATGAATTAAAAATTTCTCAGAGACACTGAAGATCAGGCTTGAAAATTCTCATAATTTTCTTGGGCAGAAAAAACTCATTTTTCTTCCAGCTACTACTGAAGCATTAAAGTGACACAAAGAGGAGTGCATTCAGGGCACATCAATGACTTGCCTACATTTGCCAGGCAGAGCAGAAGCAAGGATATGTTTTGTTGTCCAGGATCTTATTCTGCTCAATGGAAAATAGTTTTGTTCCTAAAAAGGAGCCAGCCAGCATGCAAAGTTTGCAGTGGCAGATTTAATCTCAAAAGAAATCTGGGAGTAACAATGATCAGTTTATTTATAAGCATACTTGCTTACCATATGCAAGAGAGGAATACTGGGAAATCAAGACACATCATCTGCTTAAATTCACTCAATACTTTTGAGTCAGTCATTTAGTAAATAAGTCAATTGAGAAAAGCCAGGAGAAAAAAAAAGCCCAATGAGAGAAGCAGCAGCAAGGGCAAGATAACAAAGGAAAGCTAGAAGGACAAACAAAAGGGAAGGCTGCCATCAATGTTAAATGGAAAACAGAAAGAAAGGTTGTGGTACTTGGTAATAAGAGTTGATTGTAACTTAAGGAAGAAAAAAAAAAAGAATCGATTGTTACTGTGAGAATCATGGCATGAGGTTTTTTAATTATGGGATGAGATAAGAAATGGAATGATACATACTAGGCTGGACTGGCAGGATGGAAGATAAGCTTTCCTTTCCTCTGTAAGGCTCAATTAAATTTAAATACATTGGTGGGACAAGATGGAAGTAGGCAAGAGGGAGAAATCAAAGAGAAAGCAGATAAGCAGATGAAGTTAGGAAGAAGAGAAATTAGGAGAGACTTTATGCAAAGGAATTTCCATCTGGAATTTGCCTCTCTCTCACTCACTTCTCAATGGATAAGCAGAGCTAATCCCAGTCACTGATAGATCAGATCTCAAGATCTTGCTATTGAGAAGATCTTAGGTACAGAATAATTCTAGGTTATGGTAGAAACCCACATTTGAGAGAGAAACCATTCTTCCCTATCTTACTTTGGAATAATTATTTTCTTCCCTGAATTCTTTAATTCCTAAATTTGTCAGTTTTCTATCTTCAAATACTCCTTAAAAACAGAGAGACCCTCTTACTTTTCTTTGCCTGTCGGATTAGAGAAGGCCCCCAGGATACATTTACGGAACAAAGTGAGTCTAAAATCATTGTCAAATGACATTCTCAGGCATTCTCGATTTAGCCGTGTTTTTTAAGCAAGATGATTTTGCCTCTCAGGGTATATTCTGACAAGGTCTGGAGACATTTGGGGCTGTTACACCTGGGGTGGGGGGGTTGCTATTGGTACCAGGGATGCTGTTGAACGTTAGACCATACACAGGACAGATCCTTTCCCCACATCGGGAATCATCCAGCCCCAAATGTCAACAGGGCTGAGGTAACCTCTTTCAAAACCCAGTTCCAATCATGTTATTCTTTAGTTTAAATCCTTTAGGAGGCTCCTATTACTTTTAGGATAAAACCCAGAAACCCTGATCTAGCCTGAAGTTGAGTTACCAACCAAGAGAGGAAATGCATTTTCAATTCTTTTGATCCCCTTTGCTTTATTTGTTTCACAAAGAAACTGAATTGGCTTTAAAGGAGTTCAATTTTATAACTATCCTTTCATCTATTTCTTTTCATTTTGTCCATTTCTTCTAATTACAAATTCCAAAGAGTGGCACATACTAATTATTAGAAAGTCTTATCATTTAATGTGAATTCGTTTTGTGCTCAGATAGTCACACTAATGAACCATTCATAAATACCAATGAACCTCATTGGTTCAGTTAGCCCAATAAATCTCTCCAGAAAAACATCACCTCCATCCATTTTCTCACACATTTGCCTCAGTCAATATTTACCAGCTTGACAGTGGAAGTATGGCCTCCCATAACCACAACTTGATTGTTTTAAAAAATGTAACATATTTACTAACACATGCTAAAATGGCATCATTAATAATTAAATAAGGCAGCAATGGGCTAGGGATTTAGCTCAGTGGTTCTAACTCCTGCCTTGCAAGTGCAAGGTCCTGAGTTCAATCCCCGGTACCAAAAACCCCCAAATAAATAAATAAATAAATAAATAAATAAGGCAACAAGATGAAATATAGCATCCTTAATTTTAAATTGTCTATTTACTTACTAATTTACAAAAAATACATTTGAGTTTAATGCATCTCTGATTATTATTGTAGATCAGGGAGGTCCTACTATATTCCAAATGAATTTTGAATATAAAATTATCTTTGTCTCAAAATAATTTCTAGCTCAGCATTCGAAAATCCCATTCAAGATCTTTCCTCTGAACTTGCTATTTTCCCAGTGTTCCTGCCGACATTGAATGGCACAGTTAGCATGCATTTACTTAAGTCTGAAATCTGAGCGGCATCTCCTCCTTCCCATCCATTACCTCTACAGCCCCTTTCTCAGAACACCTTGCTTTCCCATTCCCTCTGCCCTATGCTCTCTGCCACCACCACCTTAGCTCAAGCTACTAATCTTTCACCTGGACTTTTGCAGTAACTGTTGATGCTACCTTTCTCATCCTTGTCCTCCTCCAATAGATCCTTGGAACTGCAGCTTGGATGATGCTTTTCAAAATTGGTCCTGCTCATGTCCCTCTTTAGTTTAAAATCCTTCAGAAGTTTCCCATTGCTCTTAAGATAAAAACCAGAAGCTTTAACACGATATTACCCTTGCCTACTTCTTCTATCTCTCCTTCCTCTAGTCTAGTTCTCTAAGCTTTCTTTAATTTCATAAATGTCATATTCTCCTTGACCAAAGGAATTTAGAAGGTGCTGCTCTCTTTACTTTAGTGAGCCTTATCTTCTGACCAGCTCAATCAGGTCTGTCCTCCTATTATACACTTTTATGAAATTATATAACTTTTTGAGTTTTTAACTGGTAGTGCTGAGGACTGAATGTAAGGTCTCATGTCTGGCAGGCTATTCGCTACCACTGGGCTATTCCTCCAGTTAAAATTGTGTAAGTGTCTTTAATACATCAGAGTTTTAAATTATATAGTTATTTTCTTGATTAATTACTAGAATTTCTTCTCTTTGTAGTTTGTAAGCTCCCAAAGAGAAAGCATTGTGACTGTTTTTGAATTCCCAATAACCAATAGTTAAGTGAATGAATGAATAAAGTGTTAAAATTCTAAGGAAAAAAGAGGAGAGAAACTTTTTTTGTGTGTGTGATGCTATGGATTGAACCCAGGGCCTTTGCTACGTAACTAGAGCTACATAACTACATAAGTAGACTTTAAAAAAATGTTATTTTGAAGCAGGGCCTCACTAAGTTGCCCATGCTAGGCTCCAACTTGATTTTCCTGCTTCAACCTTCTAGAGCACTGGGGTTATAGGCATGCACCACCACACCTAGGTGAGGAGAGAATTTTTAAGAAAACATTATGTTGTGCATAGGGGTAAGTGTAGGAAAGGGTCAAAAACATTGGATTCAGGGTCAGAAAACATGAAGTTGATTCTCAGCCTGACACTTATTCACTGTAAACTCTCAGAAAAGTCACACAGTTTCATTAGCATCAGACTTCTCACGTACAAAATGGGAATAGCAATTCCATGTATTTTAAAAATTCAGTAAAATAAGACATATACATGAAATAACCCAGCAAAGTCAGTTCACCAAGTGGTGGAAGAATCTAAATGTCTATTGATGGGCAAATGGATAAACAAAATGTAGTATATACATATAATAGAATATTATTTTTCATTAAAAAAGAAAGAAATCCTGTCATGTTACAACACAGATGAACCTTGAGAACATTATACTAAGTAAACTAAGGTAGTCACAAAATGATAAATACTGCATAATTTACTTCAGTTATCTGAAACAGTATTCAGAGAGACATAAAATAGAATTGTGGTTTACCAGGGACCAGGTAGGGAGGAAGGCTAGGGAGTTATTGTTTAGTAGGTATAGAGTTTCAGTTCTCCAAGATGAGAAGGATCTGGAGATTATCTTCCCACAATCTGAATATACTTAATGCTAGTAACTGTGAATACACTTAATTTTATGTGAATGTATTTAAAAATGGTCAAAATGGTAAATTCTCTTTTATGTTTATTTTGCAAATTAGCGCCACATATGTAGAGGATGATCAACAGGTACATTCAGGATCCATGTGGCTTCATTTCATAAGTTAACAATGAGAGGAAGATCACAAAGGAGAGACTGCCCTGTCAGTGCAACTGAATATTTAGATTGAAAATTGGCTGCCCATGATTGAAGAGCAATTGCACATCAGTATATGAAATTATGACACAGTTTGAGTTTTTGATGCTCTAAGAGTTAAACAAGTATGATTTGGGATGCATTTTAATTACTTCCACCTAAGGCCTATAAAGTTATTTTATTACAAACATAAGGAGTAGAGGGAAAGTCTAGGCCTTAATTGAAGGCAGTATCAGAAATAATAAATCTGGTTTACAATAGCCCCTTGGCAATTTTCTTTTCTTAAATTCAATTCTGCATGGAAGCATCAGCTTTATGAGGCTCAAGATGACATTGACTAAGCTAAGTTATTAGTTTGTCAATTCAAGGTAGGCAGGGATTTTTGCTGGTTCCAGGGAGGGGAGACACAAAAGGAACAGATGGAGTTCAGGCCCTCCGGAGTTTCTAGCTCTCAAAAGAAAGGTGGACCAGTGGCTGGACACTCAGGCACACACACACACACACACACACATACACACACGCACACACGTCACACTGCATAAACCACACAGCACAACGAATGACCATGCCAGTAGTAGAAACTGAAGGTGCAAAAGGACAGTGGTGGTAAGGCTGTTTTCCATAAAACCTTTTTTTTTTTTTTTTGGTACTGGGAATTGACTCAGGACCTAGCACTTGCGAGGCAGGTGGCAGAACCACTGAGCTAAATCCCCGGCCCACAACAAAACCTTTTTGCTATAAATGAAACCTTTTTGTTCCAAAAGGTTTGCTTCTAAATAGAAAATTTCTCAAATCTCTAGATAAACAAAATATTGACAAAGACATTTCGGGTCCCATGAATAACTTGTGATTTTTAAAAGCCACCCCTACTTTTTTATTATTTACCAAATTGAGTGTCTACGAAAAAAAGAAACAAAGGCAAATTTTTGAAAATAAATTTACCTTATAGTTAAAGTATAGCCATCCTTTGGGACATGTTCCATGTTGTTTTGGTGTATTTTTTTCTGCCTCAATGACCCAAATCTTTTTACGCTTACAAATACCAGGCATAAAAACTGAACACTCTTCACTACCCCAGAGTCCTGGAGGAGAAATGGATTAGACATGACTTAGAAACAATAGTGACATTGTGGCCATTCTCTACTGATTACTATTTTTATGACTGCTATCATTTTTCATAATTTATTTTTTGAACCAAACTTAACTACTAATTATAGAGTTCCCTAGTGACAAGAGCTAACTGGGCAAGATGCCAAGTCAGTGATTCTAATTTAAGAATGAAAGTTTTTGAAATGCTAAATAAATAAAAGTAACCACACAAATGTTGCAATGGAAATCACAGAACCAATGAAGTCCTAAGAATATTTTACTTTGGTAACGGAATAATGTTTATAGAATAACCATTTTTGTCTTATCATATTCAGCTTCCATTTACAGAGAAAGAAAATTCTAAAACAATAGATGACCATTTGTACTTTATAATTCTTTAGCAAACATGGCTAGAACATCCCTGATCTAAAAATACAAAGTAAAAAAAAAAACAAACTTATGAGCTCTAACATAATGCTTAAAAAGTTTCAGATTTCAAATTTTTGGATTACAATAAAGCCTATGTGAATATTCTCAGATCCAAAAAAGCCTTACATCTTAATCACTTTTGATCCCAAGTACTTTGGGTAAGAAATACTCAAACTGTGTAATAATTTAGAAAAATTAACACAGGAACTTCTAAGGAAGTAATATTTCTCAATAGTGACCCTCAAATAAAATAGATTCACATATAAACATGTCCACAATCAGATATATTCACAAGTCCTTGGCCTCCTGCAAACTGATTTTTCTTTTTTATATGGAAGAGCTATATTTTTACAGTAAGAGTTGAGGATACATTTCTTTAGCATTCAGACCATCAGTTCCAAACAACACAGAGTGCGTATGTAAATTGCAAGGGCAGGTTCGGTTTTTTAGTATTAGAAATCTGAGCCAAAAAGATGTTGGATTTGAAGGAGAGGCTGGAATGCTATTTCAATGCAGATTAGCCGTATTCTCCCAGACTAACAAAACAGCCCTTTCTGTAGGCTGTTGTGACACCTGCTGGCAAAAGCAAGCTGATTAACCCTGGGTTTTCTTTTCCTAATTCTGCTGTGGCTCTCCAACCAAGGATTACTTTCTGTGTTTCTCCCTTTCATGACTGGAGGCATAGATTATTTATGAATCTATTAGAGCAGGGGATAACATTATCTTTTATATTTTATCTGCTAGAGAGTGTGGGTAGGTATGAGTGAACAATCAACTCAAACAACACTGTACTAATAAAAATAAAAAAATCTTCAGCATACATGTGCTTTCAAATTCAATTTGCAAACAATTGTTCTTCCAAAGGAAACAGCAATTAATGCCAGTTATTAAAAAGAAGAATACTCAATTGAATGAAGGTTTTCACAGAGGTTCGAGGTCTGGTCAGTTATAAACTGGATACTGGGAAGAAATAAAAATTATGGTTCCACATTGAAATTTCATAGAGAATAGCATTTGCCAGATATATTTGTTGGCAGTTTCCGTGGTCTCAGTTTTGGTGCTGGTTTGATTAATGAAAAAGAACTTATCCAGATGTGAATTATTTTTAAAAAGATGAATACATTGATTAAACAGAAGAAATGACCATCTATAAGCCTTAAAGCTGAAGAAATTGAACACAGTCAACAGAAAATAAGAACAGTCACCCTTTTCCCTGAACTGATACAATAAAAGGGAAAGTTCAAGCCTCCAGAAAAGCTTGTGTTATAAATCAAAAGATGATTAAATAAAATAACCTGTTGTGGAAGAAATGAAGCCACATCTCTGGCTTTCATTATTCACAGATAATTCTCTTTCTTTGTCCCAGTTCTGGTATATTAATGGTGACCCATCACTCCAACTGTAGAAAAATTTAAAATGTTAAGGTCTTCCTATTTTGCATGTTCTGTTTTCAACACCATTCTTGGATTTCTGGGGTATTGGTTGAAGGATTAACATTTTATTAAATTTAGAAAAATAATTATGTATAGTACAGTAACAGTAGTTAATGATACTGTGTTGTTGTGCACTTAAACATTTTTCAAGTGGGTAATTTTTTTCTCAAAGTGTTTTTATCACCAAATAAACAAATCAATAGTATGGGAGGAAGCTTTTGGAGGTGATAAATGTGTTGACATAGATTGGGATGATGGTTTCATGTGTGTGTACTTTAAAATTACATTTTTAGCTAGAGAAATGAAAAATTTACAAGTTAAAGATAATGTCTGAAGGCTATTCAACAAATTAATCACTAAGATCTAGTCCAATCACTTCGCACATAAAACTTGTCAAACAAAATTAAATGCAAATTAATCTAGGTTCATACTGAAATTCATTGTTGGCTTTTTCTTCTTGAAATCCAATCCACCAATTTGCTCCATACTTGGATAGCTATTTAAAAAGGAAAGAGAGAAAATGTCAGCATTTATTCTCCTTGTTTTCTTTTTTCACTATTAAGATTAATGGAGTTGCTGCTAATGGCTTTCTACTCTTCAGTATTTTACCCAATTATCTAAGGATAAACAACTAAGGCCTAGCATCTTAAGAAAGCCTGAAACTTCATTACCCTAAAATATTCCTTCCTCATTATGAAGGGAAATTGGCATCAAACTTTGAAAATAATTTTAGTTTCATACAACTTGAAAAGTAAAATTACTAATTTAATAAGAGGGATTTAAAACGTGATACAAGGTAAATAGAAGATGGATTCTTTTTCTAACTAAAATATAAATGATTTATTCTCTTAGTGATTTATGGAAGTCCATTGCAGGTATCATATTTATTTGAAAAGCAATTCAAGTTACAAAGGATTTTGAATATTAGGTATTAGTTGATTGTTGAGTTTTAGAGTATTAGCAATCAGATAGACATACAATATAGGATAAAAGAATGGTGCAGAATTTCAGGGTTCAGCAACTAGAATGTTATTCTTTGTATATTTTACACTAATTATTAATCACTAAGGCCTGAGCACAATAAGGTATAAAATTGAAACAATAAGTTATGCATGTGCGTGCACACACATTAGAGCAGGTGTAATACTGGACTTATGACCCAGGAAATTGAAATTCCCTGTTTAACTATAAAAGAGGAAGAGGCAGTAAGGATTTCTCTGAGATGTCCTAAATCAGCAAATTTTATGGTGTGTGTGCTATGTGTGTGTGAAATCAGCTTAATTTTTATAGTGCTAAAAAAATCTGTTAATTTGAAGACATTATATAATCAGGTTTGCACTCTCATTTCTTTTTTAAAGACTTGGGGTTAAATTTTAAGATATATAATTTTTCCACATGAATTTCAGTTCATCGCACAATGGAACCTAATAATTTGCTAACATTCTAACTTACAAACAGGTATTTCTACCCCTTAAACAGTGTGGTTGTCTGCCATATCAGCAATTTGAGAATAATGCAAGATGGAACAACTGTAATTTTGGATCCCTGAGGTGTTGTTTCATGGACATGTTCTTATGTACTGAATTGAGATTTCCATTGTCAGACTTTGGAATGGGTCCACTGAGACTGACTGTGAACTCAGGGGGAGAACCACAACAATTTCATTCCATCTAAAGAGGTCTCATGTGCAACAACAGTGGAAATTATGGCCTGATTATTCACTGTTCCAATTAAGGACCTTTACAGAGAAATTTTAACTACCACATCTTCAGTGACATATTTATTACCACCTCAATTATGGTCTGGTAATCTCCCACACAGCACATCACAACCTGTTGTGCTACGGCACAGAACTTCACAGGACAAGCTAGAAGATACCCAGTCTGAAAATCCCAATGTGAAAGACGGACGTTTTAAATTTTAGCATAGGTATAAGGTTATAACAATGGAAACCTTATTAATATGTGTTTGTGAAAAGAAGTGTGATACATTTTAAAACATCAATTATGTCTTGTTACATATACACGGCCATTCCAGGTAGCATCATCTGGGAAGAATATTTAGCAAAAAGATATAAAACCCAACAAGAGTGAATATGTATTAACCTGAGCTATTTTAGGAAGAATAATCTGTCATCATTTAAAATGTTCCATAAAAAATGACAAAACTAAATTATTTTAAGTGTTTAAAACTAGACTTTTAGGGCTAGGGATATAACTCAGTGGTCCCGAATTTGATCCCTGGTACCAGGAAAAAAAGAAAAATAAAAAGTAAAACTAGATTTTTGAGGAGGACTAATGGATTTGATATATATTCTTTTAGATGTTTTTAGAAATAAACTGTAAAAGATCATGATATAAAAATGATAAATTGTCATTTAGATTTTGAAATGCAAAATTTACACAATATAAAAATTTTAGCCAAATAGATTAAGTCTTCATATCAAACAACTGTTAAATGCTTATAGGTTTTAACATTTTTTGGCATTAATTTGATTATCAAGAAGGCTAAAAAAAACCCCCAAAACAAAAAAACCTACCTCAAATTCACTCTAATCATACCCTGTGCTCTATTATTTAGAGTGAGAGAGAAAACACTGACTTACTCTTTTTCTAAGAAAATATTTTGTTAATTTTTTGTGCTTTAGATTTTAAAATGTTATTTTTGTTTTTCACAGTCTGTACTTGTTACTCTTCATAGGATAGCTACATAAAACACAAGTGTAATTTAAGAAGTATTTAATAACTACTTTTTCTGATTTTACCTATATTCATAAGATGGCTGTGCCATAAAAGTGAGTGGTCTGACCTTTATGAAAAGGACCCCAGAGAGCAAACTCTTCCTCCTGCCTTATGGGGACAGAGAAGACTCCATCTGTGGACCAGGAAACAGGTGATCACGAGACACTGAACCTGCCAGTCCCCTTTCTCCTTTCTCAGTCTCTACATTTTAAACACTCTGATAACTTTCTTCTGTTGCATACTAGGGCTATACCTGCAGACAGCAACTCTCTTACAATAGGAGATTTTATATATTAACACGGTCATAGGTGGGGTAACATTTTTTTCATATAAAACACTTCAAGGCTTGTCTAATTTGAGATCAGAGTCTTCAACTAGATAATGGCTTTGGCTATGACTTCTAAACAGTTAAACTCATGGCCTTTATAATCCCTTGAGTAGAACGTATTAATTCCACCATCCCCACTGCCTTTCTATCTCCCAAAGACTAGGAGATGAATTAAAAGGAGAGGTAAGACCAGGCATGGTGGTGCACACCTGTTAATCTCAGCACTCTGGGAGGCTGAGGCAGGAGGATCTCAAATTCATATTCAGCCTGGATAAGTTAGCAAATTAGTGAGATCCTATCTTAACTCCTGTCTCAAAATAAAAAAAAGGACTAGGAATGTAACTCAGTGAAAAGGCTCTGGGTTCTTCCTCAGTATTGGGAACAAAACAAAACAAAACAAAACACCAGGAGAGGGGAAGAGAGAAGACTAGAAACTTTCCCTGGATGGTTAAGTTGAACTCTGTTGGGAAGATCAAAGGAGCCCTTCACTGTTCATGTCTGACACTGAGCTGACAGCCACCTTGGGGAGGGAATTTACAGGCAGCATTTTGGCGTGGACTCTGTGCACATATGTGACTCTGCTGTTCTGCGGTCACAGGCAGCACAGTGGAGAGTTTTCAAATGACCTTGTGAGTCATATAGCGGGGATCCTTTTCAAATTCCACCACTTAGTTGCTGTGTGATCAAGTTATTTAACTTCTTCCTCATCTGCAACATGTACTAAAATAGACTTTCCACAGCCAGCTTGAAATAAATCCTCTTTATTCGCCCATTTTTGCTAATAAAGATGAAGAGAAGTGAAATGACTGAGTAGCAGAGTAACTGATTTCTCATTATGTTCTCTTAATCTCTGTAATGGCAAGAAGAACAATTTTCAAAAATCTATGGTTTTTACTGAAACTTAAATGTTTGAAATCAGATTTAAAAACAGTACAGAGAAGCTGAATTTCTCATGGTGAATTAGATTCAAGTACCACTCTTATTTTGCTGAGGATGAATTCTTGCTCATGTGCAGAATGAATTGTGAGCAGTTCACCACGCAGCCAGCCACAGACAAACTCAAAGGAAGCCCATTCTGAGTTGTGGGTATGAAAAAGGTACTCTGCCTCCTGATAAAAGAGCCAGGGTGCATCTGAAAGAAAAAAAATGATGCCAGTGTTGCCAACACTGAGAAGGAGAAGAGGGGCTGGAGGGAGAGGAGGGAAATGGGAAAAAAAGAAGAAGCAAGATGTACAGGTACAAATTTCCTATGATGAGCATTATCATTATGTATATCTAAAATGTACCAAGAAAAAATTTTTTAAGAAGAGATACAATGCAGGCTTAAATAAAGTATGTTATGATTGAACTAAAATTTTAATTTGGTTACTTAGCATTAAAAAGGTATGTAAGTCTATATATATATATGAATATATACACAGATAAGCACACATATAAATAAAAATGTGATTTGCTTATTTTCCTTGATCTACCTCTTCTAAGAAAACTTTACCATTATTCAAAGGCCAGAGATAGATACCTATTATAAAATTGTGTCAAGAAAATGGGAATTAAGCTATGATATTAGTCTTCAATCATATTTAATAACCATATTTATTATTTTGAGTATTAATTATTGACTTCTTAATTTGAAAATTTAGCTCCAGATTGACCCAAGACACTCAATTAGGAGAATGTGAGAATAAATTGTATATACTAGCACTTCTATGTTGTGGAACTAGAAATTTGAGAATTGCCAGGATAGTTCTTACCATACTGGTACCAGGACGGAATCTTGGGTCTCACATCTGCAAAGTGAAAACAAATGATCTTGACTGACCTTTATTCACAGGTGCACTGTCAACAATAACTTCAACTCTAAACACACTATACTAAACTTCTCCTTTTAAAAAGCCATTTAAAAGATAAGTACTTTGTGCTGTTTGAAAGCTTGAAGAGGACTCTCCAGAGAAGTTTCTGATTAAAGAAAGGACAAGAACATTTGCTGCGAACCTACTGTGTGTCACACACTATGCTTCCACTTATTCATTGTGCGGTAGTTCTATTTACTTATAATGTCAGAGTGGTGTTACTTTCTGACTATATTTGCACAATAAATATTCTGCAATGTTAACTAGTTACCCTCATTCCCAATGAATTAACTTTGTATACTGTACTGGTGCAGTTTTCTTATTAACCTATGATACATTGTTTACTAAAAGGATGTAATTTTGTTCATTATGTAGTTGCTGGTATTGTAGCTCAGGGTGCTTAGATTTTGAATCTGTTAACTCATCTTGGAAAATGCTATACACTTAGAAATCAAATATGTAGTAAAGATTTTACTAATCTGTTTACCTCTTGGAATTTTGCATATCCATTCACGTTTGAAACCACAGTGTGAAGGCAGCAATATTCTGTTTGCCTTAAATACAGCACAATTTCTTGCCTCTTCTCCAAAATAAGTATTGTCTAAAAATGAAGAGACAACCTGCAGCAGATGAAGTTCATTATTTCTTAATGATAATCCCCCGTAACAAGCTTCAAAAGATCAAAAAAGGCATCCATGCACGTAATTATTATAGATTTCTAGAGAAAGCTTCAGAACTGTCTGGCTGTCATTCCAGCTAAAGGCTGTTCCACATTTGTGAAGAACAAGCAAGTCAGTATTTAGCATTTTTTCCTTAAAGATTCTTTTTCTTAAAAGGAAGCAGGCTACTCCTTTCTCCAAAAGGAAGAAATGAGATGTAAGCTTTGTTTTGAACTTGCTCTATTTCCTAAGTGGCAGGATTAGTCTAGTCCTGGAATCCTGAGTAAATTTAGAGGCTCTGGGATATGCCAGATCTGGGTTCCACCTTTGATATTGATTCTTTTACATATATATACTAAGTTTTTAGTTTCTAATATCTAATTTCTAAGCTATAGTTAGCTTTGTAATCAAGACACTAAATAACATTTTCTATGAATGAACACATAACTCACATAATAGGGGTTCTGAATAAAGAATGAATCTTCTCAATTGTTTAACAATTACCTGACAGAAGAGTGGATGGACCACAAGGACAATTGGAATAAAAATTTGGAAAAAAAGACGATGTTTTAAAACCATTTATACTCCTCCCCAAACATGCACACCATCATGCAACAATTTTTCTAGCATAAATAGTATAACCTCAAGTTCAGAAAATAGTACAGGTCTGAATTCATTTTGTACAGAGGGAAGCAGTGAGGACCTCAGTTCATTGCTTCATCATTGCTTCATGGCCTTATTCTCATCTATTCTGAACCTAATTATCTATTTCTCTTCTATTATTAAAAAAAATGAAGTACTCTCAAACTTTTTGTATCACATTTTGTTTTTCGACTGCTGTGTCGTCTTTAATGCCTCTTCCACTCGGCACTTTTGTTTTCTTCATTAGCAAAAAGGACAGGGGTACCTAAGGGGTCTCTAAGATCTTGCTTGCTGTATTTCTGATATCCTTTTCAAACAAGCAATATTGGATTGAGGATGTTATTATCATTTTTTGACTAGCATATCCCTATCATTATTTTTGTTCATGTTAGAAGCATAGAACTTTAAAAAATAAATCCCATCCTGGTCAGAAGTTTGAACTCCATCTATGTGCTGGGCTTCAGTATATACTATATTCTTTATTTAAAATTTGGCTACTGACATTTTGCCATCGGGAGATATCACAACATTGTGGCTTTGGAGTCTAACAATCTGTGTGCAAATCCTGGCTCTCCTCTGGATTATGTTAGGCAATCTAGTAATTATTTTGCTGCCCACTGCAGTGTGCTGTTGTAAGGATGCAGTGAGATCATATAGAGAGGCATGCAGCTCAGTGTGTGGAGCCATATGAGGGCTCCATAAACAATAGCTGTATACACACTCACTGCAGGCTGTTACTAGAGCCCTGTTTCACAGGGGGAATTCCATAATGTGATTTTGCACATGCCCTGGGATGGCTTCCATTTCAATCTGGGATATTGCTTCAGTATTTTTCCTGTCATCTTGAGGAAAATGTGAGAATTCCTCATTGCACCTGAAAAAAAAAATGGTGTAAGGTGTCTTCTCTCTTTCACAAAGGTTTGCAAGTATGAGGCTGAATGAAAAGCAAGACTTTTATTTTTCCTTTCTGGAACAACATGCTCTGGTAGATGTGATATTTCTAAAGCTGGCATTTCTATCCTTTTAGAGTGAGATAAACTGAAAATGGTTCTCTAGAATAGTCTCCTCTTCACTGTGACATGTACAAGGGCTGCATGATCACATGGTCAGGCACTGTGTAGGAAAGGAAGAGGAGGGTAAAGGAAGTATGGTATTATTTTAAAGAATAGCTGCTCCTTTGTCGGATGCCTGTTCACACTGGAGATGGTTGGAGCAAGTTTTTTGGAGATTTTTTTCTTTTCAAATTAAGATACTACAGGGCAATAGTATCAGAATGACCTGGTTAGTACAAATTTTCCAGGACCTTGACAAAACAACTCTTTCAGCACAAAAGTCTAGCCTTGTCATGGGAGATATGGCCATTATTTCTAGGTTCTTTTGGTTGGTTTTCCCATAGTCCTAGGATCATTTGTTTCCAACTCATCTCATTTGGTCCAGTTTGGAAATACTTACAGGAGTTCCATCTGACCATTCCCAAGAACCAGAACTCAGTGGGCTTCTTTTATTAAATCCAATCCAGAACTGCCTTTCTTCTGTCCTAAGAAGAAAAAAAACCAAAAACTTTGCTTTTCCCATCAAATTCACAACATTATACAAAAAATTCAAAAAATTTAAAAATATTTATGTTTGCAGGAAACAGTTGATGGTACTGGCAGGACTGATCAAATAATCACAATTTTATTTTTCATTTTTTTATGTGCAAAACCCTCTGCTGAGAAATGAACTGAGAAGATTTAGACTCACATTCTGTTTTCTTTTGGATTGTGTGATTTGGTCACCAGTGATGTGCAGTTGGGGAAAAGTCAACACATACTGAGAACACGAGTTTCTTGTCAGGAATGGCAATACCTTTCAGTCAGGGCATGAATACATGAAAACAAGTTGGTAACAAATTTTGGAACAGCTTCTCCCTAGAGGGCTTTTTACTACTTTAATATTTATTTACTTCCTTACTATTCTAGTTATATTTTTTTTACTGTGCTTTGATTGGTTGCTGTTTCTTCAAATGTTCATGTGTTCTCTGAAAGTTAATCACCACAGTTTTCATTTAATAAAAGGTACGCAGTAGGTTTAAGGTTTTTTGGATCCCAACATAAATAAATCTGCAGCAAATCAGCCTGGGCCATGGTAGATTAACTTTAGCAGTCACCATTGGTTTAGACTTGGCAAGAAGCTCCACAGAGAACCATCTTCCTTCCTATCAGGTGGAGTACAAATATGTCAAACCACAAAGTACTCAATAAATCAAGCAATAAAGCCTAATTGTACAATGAACTATCTCACTAAGATAATTTTCTGAGAATAATTTTGAAGAATTAAACATTTAAAAGACTCAGAAGTCATGACAGATGCTTTATTTTCCTTAGTGCAGAGGAGCAAGCCTATTCTGAAGCACTACTTAGATATTTGACCTACTCTGCCGGAATGATATAAATTAAAGTCAAATGCAACTGAGAAAGTCTGAGCCATCATTGGTGCCTGGTCTGTCACTGTTGGGATGAAACCTTACATTCAAGGCTCTGAGGAGTTGGGACTGACCACCTTAGGTTTAAGCCGGGCACATTAACCTCCACAGCCCAAGCTGGAGAGCCACATCATGCTTCTTGTGCTGGGAGTTTTTAAATTTCTGTCCCCTACTTTATTCAGAGTTTAGTTTTTCTGCCATATACTAGCTCATAGAAGACAAATTTATTTTATCTTCATCAAATTTCTGAAAATTGTATGATTTTAAATTAAACACACATGTAATTTAACTGAATTCCCTGGGTAGTCAGGACAAAAAATCAAACATGCTGCTGAACATTAGGTGCTGAAGATCAATAATTTGACAGATGCTTGGTACCAAATTCTAGTAGAAAGTTTGAGTGTGAGAACTTACGTAAACAGAAAAGACATAGTGATATTTGATCTTAAAGAAACTGGGAAATGGTTGAATGGAGGGCAGGGGAAGGGGGAAAAAATAAGAACCAAGAGAATATGTAAAAGTGCATATCTCCAGTGATGAATGTCATTATGTTGTACACCTAAAATGTGCCAATAAAAGGATATACACACACACAAAAAAGAAACTGGGAAGTAGTTCACATGTGGTTATTTCATAGGGCAAACCTCACTAAAATCTAAGGGCAGAATATTACAGTATATTTTGCAAGGGGCTAACGTAATGAAACACAGCACAACTTAGAACAATGGAGACCATCCCCCATCCTAATAATCTAAAATTAACCAGGAAGCTTCTTAAACATCTGCCTCAGACAGTCGGATTTCAGCAGCTCTTATGTGAGACCAGAGGGCTCCGTGTTAAAGATGTCCCAAGCCAGTGTGATTGGCCATACTCTGGAACTGTAGTTTCAAGATTTCTTTCTAGAAGCCTTCACAATACTACATTACTATCCTAATACATAATAACAAATTCCCTACATTGTACATTGTTTTCTTTGTGTTTTTTGGTTTTTTTGGTACCAGGATCAAACTCCGGAATTTGCACTTTTGAGGCAGGCGGCAGAACCACTGAGCTAAATCCCCAGCCCAGTACATTGTTTTGTAATCACATTTGACCCTATGCTCTTTCCCCCATGAAATACTCTATGGAATTCACATTTAGAGATATCATTAAAACTTCTTCCTTTAAGGTCATTTTTGTAAAGGCTAAAAATGAATAATTTCATGGATGTTAGATATTAACTTCATCATGGGAGTGTCCTACAAAAAAATGTATGGGGAAGGCCAGGATTTTCCTCAAAAAACAGTCTTGGATTTTCTTTAATATTCAGGCAAGTGTTCTATTGAGACTCCAGAATTACTGAGCTTGGAGCACATTACCAGTACTATTATAGGCAACTAAATTAGATGGAAATTAATACACAGTCGGAGGGGGAATGGGCTCTCGAGGAAGTCAGGAGAAAGAATAGACATCAGAATTGCCACTGGAGCCATACCTTTATCTTGAGGCCAGGCCTATATGTCTCTCTAAAGAAGCAGTAACTTGGAATTATACTATAATTAGCCCCGCCTGGTCTACGAAGTCCAGATAGGCATCAATCACCAAGGTAAGCATCCAGACCTATCCCTTCCCCAAAATGCCTTTGTTCTTTCCATGTATCCTTATTATGTAACCCACTTTCCTACTGGATCAATATTAGTGAAGCAGTTATGCTTGTAATCCTGTATGTTGATTGTAGTCTAACCCATGTTGTACGCACATTGTGACTTTGCTGTATAAATTACCCCTGACAAAAGGCCTCAGTGGCAACACACTTCCAGGACCCCTCCTGTCTCTCAGGAGCAATTTCTTTTCCCCAGTAAACCTCTCCTACTCTTAACCTCATAACCTTCCAATTCCTTTGGAATTCATTCTTTGATTTCAGGGAACATGAACTTGGCATATCTGAAATCTAGCAGGTTGAGAATTATCTTTTCCTCTATATCAGCATTACAATTATTTTCATTAAATGAATATATGGATCCTTGGAGATATGCCACCCTTAGACCACATTTTCAGGGCAGGATTTTGCCTGTTGGAATCTCCAGCCAGTTATACATGTACTATATCTGTGACTGTGCCAGAAAAGATTCTCCCAAAATGTATCTTGATGTACAAGAATATCTAAGTGGCCAAGTGGTGGGAGGACTCATGAAAAGGAGACATGGTGGCTGCCTTCAAATAACTTTGAGTACAATAGACTTGATCTGTATTGCTCTAGCTACAAACTGAGGGTGGCAGGTTTCTGACTTGCTAGAAAGTTGATTTTTGAAACCAGCTTCAACAATAGAATGGGCTTTCTCTCAGGCAAGGGGAATTCTGAAACAGGAAGGAATTATGAAGACAGTAGATTAATTCTACTGAGGTGGAATGTGTTGAATTACTGTGTGGCATGGGAGGTAATACAGGACCTTTAGATTTCTTCCACCTTAGACATAATTGAGATTCTAACTCCATGGAATTGGAGAGTCTATACAAGTACAAATAAATACCAATAAGTGAATGACTGTTTCCTCAAATGTAAAACTAGGAGTTGGACTAGCTCTTTTTCAGTCACTGGAATTTAAAAATAAATAAAATCTTAAATGAACATCTGGAAAATAGAAAATATTTAGCAAATTGGGTAACTATAGGTTAACTGTGTTATTAGGCAACTGTGGGTTAATTAGATAACTATGCACTTTGTAGAATGTACCTGAGTAGCCATGATAGACTCTGTAATCTGTCACCAAAGGAGCATCACAGACTTAGAAAGTCCTGCAAAAGCTCTTTGCTCTCCCCTCCTCTGCTACTCTGCTTTGTGTAAATCCTGCTTGGTATATTCCCAGGGAAACTCCAATGAAATTAAGCTTTGTAGATGTAAAAAGAGCTATATAAAGAAGCCCAAACTTCTATTCAGGGCTCTCAAGACTGACAGTAGTCACTCGCTGAGCCACCGGTACTAAAAGCTGCTTTTTGTTCTATCTTTGTGTTAAGAGTGGTCTTTCTGAACCCTCACAGTTTCCTGCTTCCGGCCAATTTGGATGAGTCAGCAAGCAAGGACCCCAGCGCTCTGGCCAACTGCTCCCTCTGCTCCAAGCATCAGATAGCACTTTGAAAACCACTGAATAAAATAAAAATTGGGATTTAAAACAACTATTTGGGATACTCATCATGAAGAAGCCATTGCTGGGAGACAGAATATTCAATTGCAAATGTTCAAAATTAACAAGCATTTACCGATTAAATTTGGAATGTAAAAGCTCATTCACAAAGTTTTCTTCCTCAATATGGGCAAAGCTTGCAAGATGAGCTCCAAATTCTTCACAAAATGCCTCAGCTTCTCTCCATGTTCTTTTTGTCAGGACTTTTTCACTATGAAATATCTGTACAGTAAAAGAAAAAATAACACCATCATGGATAAGGTGTGGCTGTTCAATTCTGCATTTAAAAACCCAGTATTATGATTTTTATTTTTGTATGTGTGTCTGTCTGCTAGGGGTTGATCTCAGGGCTTCTCACATGCTACGCACATGCTCTATCCTTAGCTATCCCCAAACCCTTCTTACTTTATTGAAAGTTTGATCTCCCAGAAATATCATTTATTGAACTAGTGTGTGTGCCTAATCATTGTAAAACTATTAGCTCATTTTATTTTCACAACGAATTCATGAGGAAAATACACTATACAGTTTTTATAAATGAGCTTCTCAAAGACTTTTTCTCCCACAAAATCTACCACGGGTATATATTTTTTCTCTCAATAACTGTCAAGAGATGAAGAAAGTCAGACTAAGAGAGGTTAAGGATTTCAGGCCACACAGCGACAAACTGGGAGAGCTGGGACTAGACCCAAGATTCCTTGCTTCCAGAATCCATGAATTTCTATCCCAGTAAATTGCTTTCTGATATATTAGAACTAGGTGAATGATCATGAATCAGCCTGACCCATGGCAAGTAATGAGAAATGGGACTTGGGGCTTAGGGTAGGTCTTTGGGTTTTAGCTGAAGTGGCAGGCGCAGTATGGTTCAGCTGTGTCTCAGTTTTCTGCTGCTTCTCAGCAGTTTCACGAAAGGGTCAAATGGTAGGTCTACTTCTGGCTTTATTTAAAAGTTGGGTGAGGGACTGAAGACCTAGAGCTCCTGATCCTGACCCTCTTCATTTTTACTGCCCCCATTAAACCTGAACCTCTTAAGCCAGGTAGGAACACCCTGTGGCCAGCTTTCACTGAGCTCTGATTTGCTGAGACCAGAATGAATAGCTTTCCAGGTCCTATAGAACACAGCATAGCCTTTCCATCTTTTAAATTATATGTCAAAACTTGCCTCCTCTGAGAACCTCTTCCCCAATCACTCTAAATTCATAAATCCTACCACCATGCACATCAAATACACCATGCATTTGCTGACACATCAGAATGATGTATGGTAGAAAAAACACTGGGCCAGGAGGCTCAAGACTAAGGATTTATTCCAACTCTTCCAATAAATAATTGTGATCTTGGGTAAATCATTTCATCTCTGTGGCCTCAGTTTACTCATTTCTAAGGTTTAACTTACTACTCTATAAGGTAACTTCTGAGCCTATGAGTTTAATGTAGGATTTTATATGTGCACATTTAAATGGAGTGCATGCACAGTTGTTTCATGTCATCTATGAGCTGTAATATATGTGAAGTTAGAGTATTTTCATCCTGCTCTGCATATGCCCAGCTACTAGAGAAGAACATTCACCCTGGATTTAGGAAATCTCTATTTGTAGAATAAACCAAACATAAAAACAGTATTTAAAAAATGTATTCCTGATAAGAAGATCGTAGGAACTGATTTAAATCTAAGATCTAAACTTGATTTGCAAATACACATTTCTACAAAAATATTTTCTATATGTATATGGACACATACATATGCTGTGTGTGTGTGTGTGTGTGTGTGTGTGCTGAGCATTCTTAATCTGAAAATCCAAAATCTGAGATGCTCTAAAAATTAAAAACCTTTTGTGATAGTGATGCCTTTGTTTTCTGATGGTTCAATGTATAAAACTTTGTCTTATGTACAAAATTACTAAAATAGTATATAAAATTATCTTCAGTCTATATAGATAAGGTATATATGAAATACAAATGAGTTTTGTGTTCAGACTTAAGTTCCATCTCCAAGCTTTCTCATTATATTCCAAAATCTGAAATCCAAAGCACTTCTGGCTTCAAGCATTTCAAATAAGAAACATTCTCTCTCTCTCTCTCTCTCTCTCTCTCTCTCCTCATATGCACATATATAAACACACACATTAACTGAATGTATTAATTTGTTTGATTGTTAGGTGTCAAGTTACAAAAGCTATCCTCAGTAGCAGAATTATATTATTCCATAAGTACTTTATTCATGGGTTTACAAACAATATTAATACCCAGTGAATGTTGGCCTCCTTTATTTGGTATATGCTTGGCAATAAGAACAACATTGACTGGGGCCTCACAATTATAAGATAGGCCTCTCAATGATCTTGGCTGATCCAGCCCCTCTTCCTCTTGACTGCAATTGTGGGACAGAATTACCAAAAGTGCAACATCCTGAGGTAAGGAGGAACTAACTAGTTCTATTCCGTCAGGAATAAGACATCCTGCAATGCTTTAGTCCAGTGATTCCAGCGGTGCCTGAGGTGTAAACACCAGAGAGGAGTGCTTTCAGAGCCCCTGCACTGTGGTGCAAAGTGGGGCATGTACAGATGAGAGCTTTCCTGAGTAGCTTTCCTGAGTCTTGGGGGCTCAGCCCACCATAGATCCTATGCTTCTTGAAGCCCATCTGTGAATAATAAAGCCACTTTTCCTGATTTGTGTGAGTGTTCTGTCTCACTGGATCTCCCTGGAAGCTGAGTTTATGCAAAACCTGCCAGAGCTAAGAGCCTTACTGGAAACCGGTCAGGAGGAATTCAGAGTTCTCCCCCAGACTGATAACCAGTGCATGGAGCTCTTCTTAGAGTTAATAGTGGCACATGGTATTTCTGTTAACAGATAACAGTCTTCATGAGGAGAACTTCAATGTCACCAGGGATGGGCCAGATTTCCCTTAAAATTATTTGAATACTGTATAAGTGAAAGGACAGAGACAGGAAGCAAAAGTGATTAACTACCTGCTGTGTGCCAGGAATTGTTTTGGAAAAAAGGTGCTGGAATAAAGGAAGTTTTGATACATGGATCAGACTGAAATAATGTTGGTACTGTTGAGAATGCCTAAGTAATCGCAGTGTCACCTTGAAACAACTGGCCAGACCAGGCTTTGACTCCCAGTCCAAATAGCAGGGTTGAAAGGGCCATCTTTCTTCATGCTCTGTTTTCTCCCGGTTTTCAACCGACTGCTTGCACAAGGACATTGCCTTAAAGTGTTTACAGTCCTTCACTTCCCAGCGACCAAGTGGACTACTTCCTCGCATGGCAACACAGCCACCGCTATAGCCTAAAAACAGAAAATAAGCCTTTTTAATGCCAGATGACTAAAACATTTGTCAATCTGAAGACAGCTCTGTTCAGAGTGTTAAATAATTGACATCTCATAATGAGGCATCCAGACAAGAACAAAAAAGATTAAAAAGGATATTTTATTGGCATGGTTATCTCATTTCTCTTCATCTCTGGAGAAAAGAATAGAAGATGGAAACAAGAGAAAAGAGTCTGTGAAGCCTGAAATTTGGACTTTGTCTACATTTTAGCTCAGATGACAACAGATGGGAAACTAGGAGCAGTTCCTAGGTGAAACTGAAATATCCTTCATAGCTTAGTGCTGTGCTTTGAAATCTCATTGTGAAAAATCAACAATGAAAGGAGCATGGAGCTTATCCTCTGAGAACTAGATTCAACAGAGAAAAATACTTACATATAATGGGTTCATGGACACATGGTACACAACTCAGAACCAAATGTTGAGCTATAAATCATGGGAGAATGAGATAAATTCTTGAAATGGGAAAAAGTTCTGGGGACAGGAACAAGGGCAGTCATCAGGGAAAAGGAAGCAAATGGCTCCTGAATTAGTAAGTAAAATATAGTGCACCCCCACCTTAGTTTGTGTGAAATATTAGGAAAAATAATATGCTCTGTAGTTATGAACAAAACTTCACTTTTTTGTGATTGATGAACATTATGGAACAAGAAACATTTTCTCACAGAAACAATTTATAAATTCAGCTAAGAGTCTTAATTTCGTCAGAAAAATCTATATAGCTCATAAGACAGCTAAAAAGAGCCCTTCAAATTTCAGTAAAAAAGTAGTGGAAAACAGTTCTATTCTAAAAATAGAATAAAATTGAATAAAAATGAGCTTGTTTTTCTTGAATCTGGGTGAGCATTCAATACATTAAATTTACTTTTGACCACCACAGAAAAGTATTCATCTACAACATGCCTGAGTAGGCTGTTTATAACCCGCTACAGAGAAAGGACAAAACAAAACAAAAAACTCTCAGTTTAGTGTGAAACACAGGTGCATAAACAATCAATCACAGTAAACATAATTGTGAAGTGTACAGTAAAGGTGTGTTCCAAGCTCACAAGGGGTGATGGTGCTTGCCTGGAGATATCAGTGAGGGATCTGTTGGAAGTGACGTCTGATTTGAATTTTGTCAGAGAATAAAGTTTTCAAGGTGGGTTTATAAAAAACAAATGATAATGAAGGAAGCATTTGAAGTCTTGTGATGATTCTGGACCTAGAGATACTTTTAAAAATGCAGTCACTTGGTATTAAATATTTATCTGTCTTAATTTCTCTTTAGAAGTAATAGTTTCAACTTAAAAAAAAAATCAATTAACTAGCCTGATCTTTTTCAACCATGTTTTGGTTGTATTATGCTCACAGAAAGATTAAAGAGAGGGAAAATGAAGAATGCAAGAGAGAAGAAAGAAGACAGAGGAAGACTTGCAAAGAACCTCTCCTGGAGGACTGGCACAGAGCTTGGTGTGAGAAAAAAAAGATTAAAAAGCTAAAGAATGGAGACGCCGAATCACCCTGCTGCAGACAGACAGGTCTGCCCACACCCTACCGAGGTCCCCAGTCGCGCAGAACACATGCCGAATCAGCCCAGTGTAGACAGGCAGGTCTGTGCATGCCCTACCGAGGTCCTGAGTCATGTGGAAGACACCAAATCACCCCGCTGCAGACAGGCAGCCACCTGATTCCACACTACAAAGATGCAGAGGACATCAGACCACCAGACCAAGGTACTGAGTCCCACTGTTGCTGGCCCAGAGGTAGGGGCTTCTGAGCCATTGTTCCACTGCTCCTGGTCCAGAAGAAGGGGTTTCCCAGCCACTATCCCTCCGGCTGCTCCCAGCCCACAGGAAAGGGCTTTTGGGTCACCATCCCTACCGCTGCTCCCAGCCCCTGTCCCACCTCACCCAGCTCAGAGGAGGTAAT